GTTCAGGGATGTATAACGTGGTGATACTGAGGATGATGTCGAGTCGGAATTAAGTCGTCGAATCGATTATCGTCAGCCAAAAACAAATAAACAAAGTGGGATATTATAACAGGCCTTCCCAGGCGAAGAGGTGACTTTGTTGTAATGTAACCGTGTGGAGTGAACCACTGCTTGCTGTGATGAATACGGAGTCAAACGGAAACTGCTGTATTGAGCGAACAACAAAGTGAGGAAGGAAGAGAGTTCCAGAGGAACGAGAGCTTAAATACAGGATGCCAGCAGCGCGCACGTGACACATACTACATGCTGCGCTACACGTGATCAACCCCTAGTTCCTCCAACTCCGTAACAGTGACCATAACCGTCACACATAAAAGTATAAGTTCGATATATTATAGTCTTATATAGAACCTTCATACCCCGCGTATGGTCCGAGTATAGAGTAGTATAAGCCTTCCTTATACTTCCTTATACTCCGGTAGTATAGAGTAGTATAAGCCTCCCTTATACTTCCTCATACTCCCTAGTCACATGATCTTCTGTAAGGAAGAAATCCTTGGATCGCCTAGCTACCCTAAGCGATCCCCATTTGCTATAAGAAATCTGAATGTGCCTGTCGAGGGTTGAGCCTCTTATTATGACAAGTATCACGTGAACACGTGATTCGTGACACTATATTATAATAACTAATAATTATATTTATTATTCTATTATAAATCTATTTATTCCTAATTAATAGAGTATTCCTATTTAAAAATAAAGTGTTTCCGACCGTTAGTTATTAAGTAATTAATTATTTAGGGTTTTAGTCTTTAGGTTAGCATAATATCTAAGTTACTATAACTAACTACTTTAGTAGTTAGTCTAAGAATGTAAAAAGTAAAAAATTAATTCGAAAATTATTAATTCTCTGATTAGCTGATTATAACTTTTACTATAAGGATTTATATATTTCACTTATAAAGGATTAATTTATATATACTCCGAGGCCAACTTGTAGGCAGTGCCGCTTTGTGGTCCTCCCAAAGCTCTTGTCACTGCTTGTGGATCGTGAAGACAGCATCAGGCCCAAGCTTCGATCGGCCCCCAGGCCAGGGTCAGTGTGGGTCAGTGTGGGTCAGGTCCCTGGAGCGAGGGCCAATCAGAAGGTTCCGATCCAGATGTCACTCGGTTGTCTCTGGAAATCGAAGACGGTGGTATGAAAAACTTCATGTTCTTTTGCGATCTCCTTCGCTCGCCAGGGTCTACTTTTCCAGTGTTCCGTCGCTGCGGCTGCCACGGGCAAGATGCTGTCCCTAATTAGGCCTGGCCCAAATTTACTGGTACGCGTACTCGTACGTGATGGCCATCAGCGTCCATGGCCATGGCAGGGGCGGTAGCAGAGTCCTCCTTCCGATGAGGATATTCCCCATCCCCATCCCCATCCCCATCGGCCACTACTACCTCTCCCCTCCATACGAGCGCAGTGCAGTGCCAGTGCTTATCCCTAAAAGATCCCCGGCCGCCTCATCTCCCCTCGTTTCCGAATTACTCGAGTAGACACCCCTCAACCCTCGACCCCGATATCCTCATCCTCGTCCTCGTCCGCGCTCCCGCTTGCAAGTGGCTGTGATCTGATGTGATCCGACTTGGAATCTGCAGGCACGCTACCAGGCAGTACCAATCCTCTTACCAATACTAGTACCAGTACCAGTACTTGACCACGACTTCGGCACAACGATCAAGTGGCACACGATTCCTCATTCCTATATCGACGGGCTGCTCTCCGTTGGACGACATCTCTTACTCTTCCCACCATCTGGATTCCCTCTCCCCCTCCCCCTCACCCCAATTATCTTGAGCATCCCCACCACCGAATATACAACCCTTCATTTCCCCGTATTGGTACAGACATTTCTTGTGGTTCCAAATCTCCGGACCCAAATGGATTAATAGGACTTCCGTCTATTTCCTATGCACCATGAAAATATGCGGAAGCCAACACTCCCACCACCAGAGCTGGCTCAAGCCTCATCACATTTGCAGCCTTCAAGGCTGCCACTAAATATAGTCCAGAGGGGAGCCCCTCCGAACGCTACAGAACAACATGTAAACGTACCTTTTCTTAGGAAAGAAGATTCGAGTAGCAGCAATAATACTGGTGCTTCTCCGGGAAGAGCAGTTGATAGGTGGTTCGATCGATCCAACGAGCGACCGGAAGCTGGCATTCATTCCATGTACGGTGATGGTATGTATATCCTGGATATATAGTTTTGGTAACCTCACTGATCTCTGTGAGCAAGATGAACCTCCATATCTTCTTAATGACACCGGCTATGCGAATAGCACCAATGGATGCAGACCTCAATATTTTGACTCTCACATTTCGTACAATGGCAGCGAATTTTCAGAATTAAACAGGATTGTGATAGACGATTTGACCGTCAAAAATCGAAGATTACGCGAGAGACTTCGAAAATACGAGTCCCCATACAATCCCGATTTGGACAAAGACAGGGCACTCGAAATCAAAATACATCGACCTATGCGTCCAAAACAAAGGAGGGCCCTTGAAGAAGCTCTTCGTATATTCGCCTCTAGTATGGACGATGGTGACAGTGATTCCGAGCCCAAGCCAACAAATCCGTCAGACTTTGCCAGGCCAACCTCTACGACAAATCTTACGCAATCATCATCGCAATCGCCTCCAGGTCCTGCGGTTTTTGACAATTCAAACTCATCCACAAGGGCTTCGCCCATAACGACGCCCGAAAATGTGTTGCGGCCTCACTCTGGTGCATTGCCAAATTCGCCGAAAGACGGCCCAACTCGAGGTCGAGATCCAATTCTCCCTAGGGACCTCACTGAGCTGACGGAGAAGGAGAGAAAGAAATTGGTGGTCCAACGTCTCGAGGCCCTCTTTACCGGGAGAGTGATCGGAATCGTTGGTGATCACAAGCATATGCTTCAGCAACAAGAAATATCGCGGCCTGAAGAAGGCGCCCGTGAAGCATTTATCAAAGGACGAGACTCGGATAATGAAAGCACGCCCCCAATGGAATCATCATCAAGTGGATCGGTGTCTGAGATTTTTCGCAAAGACGAACAACGATCCACCCAACCCTTAGATCTCGACCCTGACCGCGCTCAGATTCCTTCCGAGAACATAGCTCATATCAAACACCTGCGGACTGGCCTCTCAACACCCCAGCTAGAGACGGATTCTGACAGCCACCAGGATGCCGAACATGGCTCTCAGGGATGGATGTACCTAAATGTTCTCTATGGAATGGCTCAGTTGCACCATATCAATGTTTCATATGATTTCATTCAGTCTGCAGTTGCGGAGTTCAGCGATAAGTTTCAGTTACATCCTGACGGCAAAAGGATTCGTTGGCTCGGGGGTACGACGGGTACTCATTTGAGTAGTGATAGCGATAGCTATGGAAGAGAGTCCAGAGAAGGGTCAGGTGAACCCAACCGAAAATACCGAAAGCGGGCGCAAACACAAGGACAGTTCTCATCGACTGCTAAACAGCCAATTTCCGGAAGATCTCACTATCAGAAGTCGAATCCGCTACACTATAAGCCCTTGTTTCCCCACCCCAGGTCGGATGTTTCGCCGTCACCAGACAATTCCAGTGACTCCTCCTCGCCCAGAAGAAATGGGATGGAATGGCAAGCCCATTTTCGGAGTCAAAAAGGCTCAACCAATAGCTCTGCTAGTAGCAAAAGAAGACGCGAGGAAGGTCCTATTGTCTTTTACAGCGGGGCACAATTTTGTACCGACTTATCAGGTGATCGCGGTGGCATCTCGACACCTCTCCACGATAGCAAGGTTGGTAACGATGGGTTCAGCACCCGCACCACGGACGTTGTAGGGTCCTCTTCCGGCAAGAATCTCCCGCGCACACCCTCCGGCTCTGACTTGCCCTACAGGCCATTCAGAGCGTATTCTATGGCCTCGAAAAGTGCCCTAAGGGAAGAAACACGGCCGAGTACTGCGCAGCCAGAGGGGGATTCCGATCCTTTGGAGCTTAATCTTACAATCAATTCTTCCTCTCCCCACAAGCAATCAAAACTTCATGTTCAGGACTTCCCTGCTTCGGGTTTGGGTGGTACTAAACCCGCGGATCACTTCAGGGTGACCGTTACTACACGACGAAGAAAGACCGGCATTGAATCGACAAACAAGCGGAAATTCCCTTCTAACCCTAAACCAAGTTGTCCAAGATTTATCCACACGATTCTAAAGGAGGCGTTGGATACGTTCCGTTACTCAGAGCAAGAACCAGCCACACATAACTCGGATTCACGTAGCGCCGATTCGCCATTTGTGAAGACAGAAATTCTTTCTGCCCATGCACAATCGTTGAAACCCTCGCAATTACCACCACCGACTGGATATTACGCTCCTTCTTCTTGCTCTTCTGATGAGAGCATGGGATCCGATTCGTCTTCCCGCTTGAGCGTCGATGTCAACCACTCACTAGGTCGGGCGATGACAGGTTCTAGGAAGCAGACTTTGGACAATCATAGTATGAGAGATTCTGCTGAAAAGAATAAAGTGGAGGTTGACGACACATCTCAAGAAGGTGATGTAAGTGGTGAGGTTGATGATGATGATGATGAGAGCATCGATATGCTGGCCCACGCGCGGAAGGCTGATCCTCAGACCGTAGCTGCGCAAGAACAGGAGTTCGAGATGGAAGGTGGATTATGATTTCTTTTGTTAAAAGTTTTTCATGCATGACTTTAACCAGATTCCCCAATCTGTATTTACGATAAGATGGATTTCTTGGCGGGAGTTTCGGGAGTACCTGAACACGGCGTTATTGAAAATTCATTGTAAACTATTATTCACAGAGGAGGAACTGTGGAGTAGATCTCGCCTTTGGTGTGGCGGCGTGTATTTATATGAAGGGAATTGAGTCTGGCCGCTAACTTCCCCAACATGCAATGATGGGCATGGTTGATAGCAATGCAGCTTTCTGCCGGAATTTTGTATACATCTGGGGATAGTTTATTTACTGCAATCATGAACTCATTATTACAGGCTTTCTGGGACAAGGAATGGGACACAGTAGTGTGGTCCGTTGTGTAAACAGGTAACTCGCCATAGCTCGCGTGGTTGTAGTAACAAATTCAGATACAAAGCTATTCCCTGCAGACCCAGGAACATTCTTTTTCTGCCATATGCTTGAATTTCCTAGGGACAATTCTTTATTTCCAGTCGCTGCGATGTCTGTTTGGCAGCTGCACTTTACCCAACTACCTACTCTCACCTGACATGGGACCATGTGAGGCTCCGGGTCCATCACGCATTCCCGTTGCGGCATCGGATGTGGAAGAATGATCGCCACGGGCCTCGTGGGCTCAACGATTCGCTCAGAAGATGCACATACATACCTGAGTAGGGTAGGATAGGAGGCAATGAATCGTGACTTATCTCGTTTGGTGAATTCCAGAGTCCAGAGTCCAGAGTCCAGATCACATCTGTGGTCTTCGTACTTTCAAACGTGAATAGAGTCAAAAGCAGTCACATCGCAGCGTTTCAGAGGGCATCTCGCCAAAGCCATAGCGGGCGTGGCGATATCCAAGCTCCAAGTCCTTCCAAGTTCCAAGTGCTGCTCTCCTCAACTTAAGCTCACCAAGTACTGTACTTACAGTCTATTTGTACCTATGCGGTAGCTGGGCTGCGGGGCTTGTTTCTCCTGCTGGTTAGTCTTGTCCTTAACGTCTACACCTACACCTACGCCTACATCCACATCTACCTGGAACCCCATCACCAGCTGCGCTGCGTACCAACGCCCACACTTACAGAAATACCCTCACTTTCTTCTCCCCAGCCTAGGATTTTCTGAACGGACATAGATTTCCCGTTGCCGCCTGCACTGTCCGGCCTGAGGTTCAGCGACCTTATCGGCGCTCTTATCAACCCTCGCAACATCACAAACGACGCCATCTCCCTGATGCCAATATAAATTCGTACAACCTTGAAACCCACACCGAGACCGAGATAGAGGCAGAGGCAGAGAAGCAGGACATCTTCGCCATCCCGCAGTCTAAACTGGCTATTTAATATTTGCACAGACGAAAGGCTCTCATGGCTTCGACATCTTCAGGCTCCTTTCACAATTCCCCAGCTTCGACCGCACCCTCAACGGCGTCAGAATCTTCCTCGATGAACGCTACATCTGCAGCGGCTGAGAAGCCTCCAGATGATACCAGCAAGCTGCGCATGTTCTTGGGTATCCTGCGAAAGTAAGTACTGCTGTTGGTGAATCGGTGTGGTTGTTTACCTCTTACCGCCGTGAGAGGTGGGCATGTCAAATACCTCGAGTTGAATTACGCCAAACAACAAGTGCCAGGAGTAGAATTTGTTACTCAATCTTCCCGCTAACATCTCCCTTCGCAGGTTCATTGGTGTGGCAGATATCGCATCGGTTCGATTTTCCTTACCTGCTCAGCTCCTCGAACCCACTCCCAATCTCGAGTACTGGAATTATCTGGATGCGCCGAGCACGTTTGTAGCCATTGGAGACTCGGATGATGAACTAGACAGGATGTTGGAAGTTTTACGCTTTTGGTTTACGAAGGATTTGAAATATGTCAAAGGAAAGCCATGTAAACCATACAATTCCTGTCTGGGCGAGTTCTTTCGAGTAAGAAGCAAAGCAATTCTTGGACACAGGCATAATGCTCAACAACTGACAAGTGATAGTGTAATTGGGTTGTAGAAGATAATTTTCCACCTATAAGTGCTGGGAAGTTGATATCTACAGCTGGCAGCAGTGCTGCTTCGTCAATCAAATCCGCGAAGCACACCCCCGTACCATCGCGTGCGGCTTCCTCAGCTACTATTCCAAAAACCGTCAACACCAAATCTGGTCAACCTGTCAAGGTTTCGTACCTAACCGAACAGACGTCTCACCATCCACCTGTCTCTGCCTTTTATGTAGATTGTCCGGAGAAAGGTGTCACTGCTCGAGGTTTTGATCAAATATCTGCGAAATTCACGGGAACCAGCGTCAAGATTACTCCAGGAGAGCACAATCTAGGAATTTTTATTACCCTTCAGAGAAGGGATAACGAGCAATACCAACTCACCCACCCGGCCGCTCATTTGGGAGGCTTGATTAGAGGGAGTTTGAACGTTACTGTTGGGGACGTGTGTTACATTACATGCCCTCAGACCAAGATAAAAACCATCCTTCATTATATGGAGGAAGGATGGCTTGGAAAAACGCAAAACAAAGTGGAAGGCGTCACATTTCGTTACGACCCAGAAAACGATAACAAAATTAAGATAAAAGATGTTCCTGACAAGGATGTCTTGGCTCGAATATCTGGAAATTGGAAAGAACAAATGCACTTCTCACTTGGGTCCAAAGCTGTAAGTCAAATCTACTTGCCACAAACGACATTGAGACTAATTTGTACCTGAGGCTTCTGCCCAGCATCTACTTGTTGATCTTGCACCTTTGAACGTAGCAAGTAAGATTCTTCCTCCTTTGGAAAGCCAGCTACCCAACGAGTCTCGCAAATATTGGTCGGGAGTGACCGAAGCCATCCACTCGCGGCAATATGCCCACGCCACAACCCTCAAGCAAGAATTGGAAGAAAACCAAAGACAGAAAGTCAAGCAACGTGAGACTGCTGGCGAGACATGGAAACCGAGGTTCTTCACCGAAACCGTGACATCGAGCGGAAAACCCGAGCTTACCGAAGCCGGGCGAAAGGTGCTAGACGGTCTACATCAAGGCAAATTTGAGCTCACGGAAAGCGAGGTCGTGAGTGCATGATCAGTCAGGGCATTTTAATGGAGCTTTTTATGGACTTCTCGACTATATACCAATTTGTCAACACAGATTGTGGCGTTGTGACCCAGATTTTCCTAAAGCATACGTTCTTTTTTTTTGTTACGTAATGGACCGGGGCGTTTCTGGATAGGGGACGAGGCAATGACATTTCCGTCTGACGACGAGATGAGGGGGATGGAGGTAGATTATAGAGGCGAGCGTATATATATATACTTGCATAGACATGGGACATACTGGACATGCAGGCAGGTACACGCAGATCAATGAAATCGGAATTTCACAGACAGAACTTGGAAGACGTGGAATGGAATGTGTTTTCTCTCCAACGATTTTTAGAGGCGTCGTTATTTCGTCGCCGTAATCATTGCTCTTATTGCAATTATTCCTTCCTAAGCTTCCCTTAACAGCACAACCTATCGCCTGCAGTGATTGAGCCCCAACGCCACGCCACGCCCTTCCCATGTATACAATTCCCCTTTCTATACCACTTACTTAATCTGATCTTATCCCATCTCATCCCATCTGATCCCCTCTATTCCTCCGTACACCTCATATATATTCCCAACCGACCTATATCCCTCATCCCTCTTCCATCATCTCCCTCTTCCCCCATCTCCCTCTTCCTCCCCCCCCCCC